CTTTTTTCCGGAGGCTTCTCTTTGTTGAATTGTATCACCCAATGATAGCTCTGAGTATAAAGCATGCATTATATTCCAGAGGTTTACATTGCTTTCATATATTTTATACATTTTATTCAGCAGCACAAACTGTAAATATAATGGCTTAGAAATCAGCAAAAGAAATGCACACAATTTATAAAACAGGGAGAGATGACACTACGGTAATGGTTACTTTACAAGAGATAGATCTTACAATTTAATTCATAATCATACAGGTCACGTAATGTTCTGCCACAGCTTCACGAAACCAAGATGAGAGCACAGATGCTGGTTTTATGTTTACCAGTCTGTGCATGACACATCTTCCCATATATGTTATGTACTGCGACAGAAAATAAATTATAATCCATATTTATTAGGACATCACACCAACTCAATGGTTGCATTCACAATCTGAAAAGGGCAAGGTTCACTTAATCAGTCATAGATGTACAGTATATGTACTGCAAAGCAGTCTATAGGGACATCACTGTGCAATGTGTGGAAAATGAGAATAAAAGACTAATTCCACCCAAAACTGATATTCAGATCTTAGTGAAGGCTGGTTGGATAATTCACCTACCAGCTTCTTACATCTCAATGGTGGCCATTTTAAGCACATTTACAAACATTTCCCATGTGCATTGGTTGACATTTACTTCTGAAGCAGCCAGCATGAACGGTGAAACCAGTCAGGTTTCCAGCCCTTTTTCCATAATGTTAGTTGTTGGAATGCCTCTCCCTCCCTAACTCCTCCATCTATAAAATTGATCATAGTGCCCTTGGACACAAATTTGAGGACTACCACCATCCATGAGAACAGTTTGATTGTCTCAAGACCCACTTGAATGGCTAAGTATCACTTTATTTGAACACTCTATGGCTTGGAACTTAAATTGATTATGCTGGTGGCTCCCTTATTAGGCACTTACAAGGTATGCTTCATACAGTCAGAGGAAGTCCTCTATGAGGACTCAATTGCCAACAAGTAATGATTTAAAGCGGTAGTAAACCGTAAAAAAATGAATCTAAAAAAATCTTGCAAGTTAAGAGCATAATGTGCTAGTGTGCATTGCATTCTAGCACAGTATGAAAGACTTCTGAAAATGAAGACCTCCAGCGGAGAACTGTCACGGCTCCTCGAAGCTTCCATCTTCCCATGGTCTTCTTTCTGGGTTCGCAGGCTGCGGCCATTTGGCTGAGCCACGATGACTCTTGTCTGTAGCATTGCGTACCGTCCATTGAGAGCAAAGTGCGCATGCGCTGGTGAAATAATCAGCGCTACCAAAGTTAATATCTCCTAAACAGGGCATGTTTAGGAGATATTTACAGTACCTACAGGTAAGCCTAATAAAAGGCTTACCTGTAGGTAAAACATAAAAAATAGACTTTACTTCCACTTTAAGGTGCTGGGCTACAAGCTATACATAAGGATACATGTGGTAACATGGGCACCTCTAGGAGTCTTCTAGTATTTCATCAGGCTGGTGACTCTCCCATTAGGCAATTAAAAATTACACTCCATGCAGTTTTAACTTTCCTATAAGGATTCAATTGCCAATTGGGTATGCTATGCGTTTTATACAAGAACATATATGATGACATGGGTACCCTTCCAGCGATTTCTGATATATTTGCCATTGTTTGTTCTGGGTCTACACTGCCTACATGTGGGTTGGTTCTACAATACATTAATTACAAGAATTCACCATGGTGGTGCTCACCTAGCCACAAGAAGTGGTCTACCCTTGGATATTAATATGGATGAGAGGTCTTTATTATGTATATATATATATATATATATATATATATATATATATATACTTAATATAGTTCATATGGACTATGCTCCCTATCTGTTTGGATTTCATCCATGCATGTTGTTTTCTTACTGGGGAGGTGATGCTTAACATACAAGCAATTTTTCCCTGCAGCCGCTATGGTTGGGTTTTTTAATAATTGGCTAATTAGGGTTTTCTCAATTAGACAGTAGGTTTTCGTATGTTCTGGGTTTTTCAATACATTAATTACAAGAATTCATCATGGTGGTGGTCACCTAGCCACAAGAAGTGGTCTACCCTTGGATATTAATATGGAGGAGAGGTCTTTATTATGTATATATATATATATATATATATATATATATATATATACATATTATAGTTCATATGGACTATGCTCCCTATCTGTTTGGATTTCATCCATGCATGTTGTTTTCTTACTGGGGAGGTGATGCTTAACATACAAGCAATTTTTCCCCGCAGCCGCTATGGTTGGGTTTTTTAATAATTGGCTAATTAGGGTTTTCTCAATTAGACAGTAGGTTTTCGTATGTTCTGGGTTTTTCAATACATACATACATTATAGATTTTTACATACTGAGGATGAGCCTAAGTCTTGTTTTTATTCTTCTTTTTTTTCTTACATCTCAATGGAAAGCACTACTTGCTTGCTTCTCAGCTCAGAATGCAGACTAGCACACTTCAGGCCTTAAGTGGGAGGAACTGGGGACCCCAAAAATCTTGCTGGTGGAGCTATTCAAACCTTCAATAGTTATCTATTAACTCTTAAGCAGCAAAGAGAATCAGGTACGTTAAACTGCTTTTTTAAGGCCCCCTAGACCCAAATGAGCTTTTAACCGTAGCAATGCAGGGGCTCCGCACTGAAAGAGAACATTTTTTTCCCCTAAATCTCCACTTAAAGACATTATAAACCTTCCTACCTACACCATGTGTTTTTCACTTGCATAAGATGTGCATTGATCATGTAGTTTCATGGTGTCATTTGTTGTACTGTATGCACAGCCTATAGTAGAGTAAACTTCCAAAGTTCCAAATAGGGCAGAAAAAAAAAATAAAACACATAAGGGTTTTTCCGATTTCTTACTCTAAAACTAAAAAAAAGTTTGAGGTTTACTAGACTTTTACCATCCACATCTGTGGCTTCCAGTACATTATTTTGTGAAGTCCATAAAGCATGGCCAAAGCCTTTTCACCTCTACTAAGGGGTAACCTCTTCATGTACAGTGCATGAATAAGAAGCACATTTGAAGCTAATGGTTTGCCACCAGATATTGAGGTTCCTCTATATGTGGCCGCATGAAAGACCATGTCACAAGAGTGATTCTAACCTAACCGAAATGCTACAGAAATCTTGCTAGTGATCGATCACTGGTTTGGTCAGCAAAAGAGTGACACCATAGGAGAAGATGAGTTTAGCAATTTTCTCTCTCTCTGCCAAGTTGTTGGCAGTGACACTATTATCATTGTGACACAGGTCTCAGGTTATTCGAAGAGCACTTTACATTTACATCAATAGAAGATGATTTCTGATTGGTCATTATGGTTATTGCACTTTGCACATCATCATTTTCTTTGCCTGAATGAGTGAGGCAGCCACACGTCTAACATTTTCATCATACATTAGCACTAAGTGGAGGGCGAGCAGCATATCACATGTGTCAAAGTGACAGAAGTTGCTGTCTGTATATTAGGTTAATGACTCATGATGCCAAACCTGCAAACCTAGAAAAATACCATTCTAGGTTTGATGTCCTAATATCCTCGTATTACATTAAACAGACACTCTGGGGATCTGGATTTATCACATTCCTTTACGAGATTTTAGTCTTTAGGTCTACAGCCACTGAGAACAGTCTGTTTTATAGTGCAGCTGTAAACTTGGCTTTTACTGTAACATCTAAATCTTAGTCCGTACATATTCATAACGTCTAGTACAAAATGCATTATTTTATTTATTTATGATTTGCCTAACATGTGATAGACCTTGGCAACCTGTCAAAACGTCTCCTTCACTTTCTCTACCATGGTAAAAAAAATGAACTGTGTAACTTGGTTGGCCAACATTTTATTTAACAAAATCTGTACTGATAGAACTACTTACCTTGTGAAATATCAGTTGCTTGGATGGGAATGGTTGTTGAGCCGCCACATGCAGCATATTAGTTTGAATTCCTTATCTGCATACCTTTTCTGGAGCAAGCAAGTCAGTATGATAAAACAATAGTGCAGCGCTAAAAGAAATTAAAAAGTATGTCCAATACAATAGTGCAATGCAAATATATCAAACTCTTGAACAGGGAATAGTGCAGCGCTGTTATAAAAAAGTAATAATATAAATACAAAAGCGTTATAAATGAAGAAATGAGTATTGGCAATAGTCTATTACCACATACGAGCTTTGAGGACCAAGGGACGTATTTGTCCCATGTTTTTAATTGCGTGTATCATCTGATTAAGAACTTAAAACTCTTTTTTTTTTTTGGTTTGAGTCAAAATATTAGTTCTTATCAACAAACAACAAATGGATCTAGCTTTTTGCCAATTATTTCATGAAATGGCTTAGTTACAGCAACTGAAGTGTACGAACTTTAAAAACAAAAAAATTGATTCTTTTGGCGTTCCAAAATCTTACGGTCCTCAAAGGGTTAAAGTCACTGAAATCAGGTTTTAAATTCTGCGTCTTATCCGATAAAAATTGTAGTTCCTTCTAACTGATGGTATGAAAAAAACATAAATAAGTAAATTGCGCACTCACCAGAAGTGTGTTATCAAAACGCATTAGGAATCATAATCATCTCATCAGGTCAGTCAGGGTAATCACTTCCAGCGTGTAGTCAGGTTCCCAAGCTTATGTCTTTGAGGACCACTCCAATGGTATTCCGGTGACAGGACACTTCTAAACTAGTTTCTGCGAGTGGTGAGACTCGCAGTTAACCAAAGAATAATGCCACATAGCGTGATACTGCATTTAACGGGTAATTTTATTCTAACAAAGATGAAGATCATACAAAAAAAAAGATATATAAAAAAAACTGACCATGTGTATAAAGATGGCCGCCAGAGGCGGCTGGGACGTCAGGATGCTGTAGCCCCTTACCCTGATGCGTTTCATGCGAATCATAGGGTGCAGGCTTGATCAAACTCTTGTGTGTCACTACAAATTGAAATAATATGCACTATTGTATTGCACATACATTTTAAAATTTTAGCTCTGCACAGGGGCGGACTGACCATTTGGAAACTCGGGCACTGTCCGAGGGCCCGGGGTCAGTAGGGGGCCCCATGAGATTCCCCTGGTACCTTTTTCATAGGCTTTTTTGAGTTTGGGCAAGGACACAGGGGCCCCATGATGCCCTATTGCCCGGGGGCCCCATGAGTTGTCAGTCCGCCCCTGGCTCTGCACTATTGTTTTGTGATATTTATTATACTATGTATTATGGTATCATGCTAGCTGCTATGTTTTTTTCACATCCAACGTAGTCCTAGCGCGTTTTTTTTTTTCGTTCTCAAGTCAGTATGATAGCCAGACCACTAGCTTTTCCGGAACGGAATGGCTTTAAACCCATCAATTTCCTAAAACAGTTACATTCAAGGCATGATAACTGCAATTGCTTGTGATCTTAACTGAACTGTTAAGCCATCAAATGTCTGTTGTCATAACTGATCGCATGTGCAGCACGATGGCAACTGTAGCTTAAAAATAAAGGCTAAGATGGCAGCTTCCTTGGCTGTAAAAGAAAGTAGAGTTTAATTCCGCTTTGATTGAAAATCAGAGGTTTACAATAAGGCTCCATGCACACTGGAAGTTTTGATAACGTTGGTAACTTTAGCTGTGTAAAGTCACGTTAAAAACTTGAGTTTTTCATCCTCTTTTAGCGTTTTTGCATTAGTGTTTAGTGGCGTTTTTCTGCATTTTTCTGTGTTTGCGTTTTTTAGCGTTTTTAGCACTATGCACTAATTCCCTCCAAAACAGTATAAAAAAATCAATATATATACATGATACAGTGAAAAACTATAAACACACATGATCAACCAATTGAAAAAAATCTAAGATTCCCCCCCCCCCCAATCCACATTTGAGGGATCATTTAATTATAAATAGTGCAAATTAGTATGGGCATCCCTAGTTAGGGATAAATAGCTAAAATGTGATCAGTGAACCACACTTGACCAAAATCCACAGTAAAACCCAAAATACAAATCAAAATCCCCCACATATAAATGCTGAAATGAATACAGTCCACAAACAAATCAAATTGTGCTCCAAATATTCAAAACACATGCAGGTGATATTTGTGTGGTCGTGGTTACAAGTGCAAATCCTCAAATGGCCAAAATGCCCCCCCTCACCTCCTTACAATGAACCCACAGGGCCAGCTCGCTTTTAGGATCACACCATGATCCTCACAGGTAGTACTCTTCGTGGGTCAATTTACCCACTTGTGGTCATCAATGGTGGCACTCACACCTCTCCTTATAGGTCTCCTCCAGCCACTGGCATCAGCAACACTTTTTACTCTCCATACAGGACCACAGTGATGAAACAAACAGATCCTCCATAGTGTGATAACGTTTTAATGAAGCCAATAAAACAGGTATAAAAATGCCCACTCACATGTCTGTAGTAACACACTCACCTTTACACCACACACTATGGGTGTACTGCATGGGTATAGGGCGCACCAAGATGGCGTGCGCGCAGGAAGTGACGTCACCGTGTACCAGAAGTTCCTCCCCGCGTACCTACGTGTTACGTCACACTAACTCACGTGACTTCTTCAGGATATCCTGAAGCACTTGAGACCTATATAGCTTATAGATCATCTTTGGAGGTGAGCATGCATGCTAGCAGGTGGAGGAACACAAGTGGTGGTCATCGGTTGATTTATTGAAGAGTGTCTTTTGCACAATAGACTTTATTGAAACTAATTTTTCACACAGTGATTTTTTTGCATTTTTTTTTGCATGCCTTTGTCTTGCAGCATTCTCAGCCAGGTGTTTGATATTCCGATTCTATATATTTTTCACATTGATTATCATTTATATTATTCACAAGTTAGCCTTTCCAGTTTAGGAGAGGTGTTCTGTCAGGGGTTTATTTATATACATTTGCTGAATATTTACTTTGTATTTAATATTCAGATTATAGTTATTTCTCTCTGTATGCTGTTTAATATGTGAATCATCAGTTCATTTTATCGCATTAAGATATGTAAAGTGCTAATTGAAAATAAATGACAAATAAATAATAAATAATGAATGGAATTTACATGCTGGTTTATGCTGCATCTCTGGTAATGGTATATTATCCATTAGATGTGGATACTTTCACGGTCTGACACTGCATGCAAGTGTTATTCATGTTCTCACACTTAGGCTACATTCACACTAGCGTTGTGTGCAGGCAGGCAGAGAGGCATTTGGGAAGCGTTTTTACCGCTTCCCAAATGCCTCTGCCAATTCTGCACATTACAGCACATGGTGCTGTTCTAACAGGAGCGTTTGCGTCGCGTTGCGTCGCGGCAAAACGGATGCCTCTGGTCGAATCAGGAGGCATTGAAGCCTCCTATTCTCGTCTATGGTGCTGCTCCGCAAACGCCCGGCCGGCGTTTGCGGTGCGGTTGCGATGCGTTTGCGGGGCGTTTGCGGAGCAGTAACACCACTCAAACCGCATTATAGGCATTTGTGGGGCGTTATTAACGCTCGGCAAACATCTAGCAACCGCCGCTAAACTGCGCATGCGGCGTTTGCGGAGCGTTTGCCGAGCATTAAAAAACGCTCCGCAAACGCCAGACCAATGCTTGCAAAACGCTATAGGGGCGTTTGGCAAGCGTTGGTAAAACAACCAAGTGTGAACAAGCCCTTATACTCACTTTTCTTCACCATGTGTGGTTTAGTGTGATTCACATGCGTTTGCAGTGATGTTCGCTTTGATTTTATGCATTTAAGGTATTACACTATGTGAGTTCTCTTTTTTTGAGGTTCGATCTCCAAAAAAAATTTGGGATTATCACTTTGCTGGAATACTGACTGCTCTTTGGAGGACTTTTATATATATATAAAAAAAAATTTTGAACATTTATTTTGGACATATTGGACTTTTTTATCATTATTTATTTGTCATTTATTTTCAATTAGCACTTTACATATCTTGATTTATACACTTTTTGGGGTTAAAGTGTTTATGTGCATTTAGGGTTTTTATAAGAGGAATACCGTATTTTTGTCTATCTATCGCATTAGGGGAAGATGTTCAGACGGTTTGTTTATTCATGATATATTATTTTTCTCTTTATCTTCTATGTTTATTTTCTTCATGCTTTCTGATAGTTGGGATATATACATGTTTATTCACCTTATTGTCACGATGAGAGGTGCTAAGCTGGGTGTTTATTGATTGAGATTTTTAATTTCACTTTTTTTTGATTTGAAATTGAGGGTTAGTACTTTGGCTATTGGTTTTTCACTATATATTGAGTAGCGCAGCATCATTTTCGTTTTATTTCTTTAGCCTTTACAATCACTTTAAGAACAGAGCGCCAGCAAACATCATAATTCCATCATTTCATTACTGTAGGCCACTAATATAGTCTTCTTTGCTCTTAAGTTCAAGGCTGTGTCTGTGCAGCTGCTGCATCTCCATAACTTAGTCCTCATGCACACTGGACATTTTTACAGCTGCTGTTTTTGGCTTTTGACGTTTTTTCTACAGCTAGTAAAACCCCCCAGCATGTTATCATATGTGTCCATGCACACATAGATTGTAATCAACATTTTTTAGCTGGGACATTTTTTGGCTGGAAAAAAAAAACAGGACTAGTGGGTTTCTAGAGGAGTTTTTTTAGCTGCAAATACTCTTTAACGCTGAAAAACGTGTCAAAACGTGGTAAAACGTCGCAAAACGTTTTTTGGTAAAAAAAGCTAAAAACCGCAAACACGGAAAACACAGGAAAAGCTGCTAAACACGGCAAAATGCCACTAAACGCTAAAAAAAGTTTTTTAACGTGATTTTACACAGCTAAAGTTACCAGCATTATCAAAATGTCCAGTATGCATACTGCAGCCACATAGACAAATAGCCAGTTCATGGTGTACATGTCTCAGTGCCTGTGTGAATGAGGTCTAACCATTTATATACAGTATTTGTTTTACAAATAAAAAATTAACACATGACAAAAATTCCCAGAGCACTATGAGTTTGCTAAATACTCAATAGAGCAGCTTGCTTTGCAAACCTACAACTGAGTACACTGATAAGGGACAAGTCACTCCTCTGATGGCTCATCCATGTTCTGTAAGCAAGGGGCTAAATTCAGCTTGTCTGAAAAGTAATAATGCTAACGATATGGAACGGAGCCCGGAGTTTCTACTGGCTAGCTGGATAAAATTAATTGGCAATATTTTATTTCAGACATCTGTACAATAGCAACATAGCCTTGATTGTCTTAGAGTGCTGACCCTTCCTCTTTCAGTCTGGGTGCTACTGAGCAGAATGTTACATGAGTTTGATATTAAGACAGAATCAGCAGCTTCTGACAGTTCTATGTTCAAACAAGTCTAATGAATGTATGAATATATAATTTGATTAAATCCTTTTAATATATTTAGTAAATCTACTCAGAAATAGAATGTCTTTGGAATATCATTCTCCTTATCCCTAACTTAAAGAGGATCTCCACCCAGCTTTAAAAAAATAAAACTCAGCCTCTACAAATACTGTAGCTGCTGACTTTTTAAAAACATGTACTTACCAACCCATAAAGTCCATCACTGTCTTCTTCAGACCTGATTTTATGCAAGATTCCAAAAGGGCCTTCAAGATGACCCCCTCTGCTATGCATGAATGATGCCAGCGGTTTATGGGGAGACTGTCCTGAAGCCACCAGGGGTGTATTACGTGATATCCCAGGAGGGGCCCCACACTACGTCATTCTTGTCTAGGCAAGGGAGGAGGAAATAGGCGTGAGCATGAATGACGCCAGCGGATTGCGGGGAGACTGTTCTGAAGCCACCAGGGGTGTATTACGTGATATCCCAGGAGGGGCCCCACACTATGTCATTCTTGTCTAGACAAGGGAGGAGGAAATAGGCGTGAGCATGAATGACGCCAGGGGATTGTGGGGAGACTGTCCTGAAGCCACCAGGGGTGTATTACGTGATATCCCAGGAGGGGCCCCACACTACGTCATTCTTGTCTAGGCAAGGGAGGAGGAAATAGGCATGAGCACCACCTAAAAAAAGGTACTTGCGTCCCCTAAAAAAAGTAAAGGGCACTTATTTGTATTTAGGTCTGTGTTTCTGTTGTAGATTTTATATATACACTTCCCGTCTAATGAAATCATTGTCAGCAAGACAGTAAGTAAAGATAAATCGTTGGAACAGAGCCCTGGA